TCACTTCAGTTTATTGATTGATAGAAACGTGTCGTTTTGTTCTTTTCACATACGAATATTCAGTTTCTGTAATCTCGTCACCTGCACCCACAAAGACCAACAGGAGGTGATGAATGTAAAAAAAATTTTTTTTTTTCTTAGAAATGGAATTTATAAAACATTCATTGTACTCGCGGTGCTTTGCATTCTCATAATTCGTAGCCTGCTATTTTTTCTATCTTTTTTGTTTGTTTCTTTGTAAGAGAAAGTTTGAAAGTCAAGTGGTAAAACTGATTCGGACCTATTTGTCACTAATCAAAATTGGAAGGCAACAAATCTATGTTCCAGTGACGTTCGCTATAAAAGCGACAGGCGATGAATAATCCATCAACATTCTCTACTGGTCAGACGGGCGTTTTTTGTATAGACGCTTGTTGGAAGTGGCTTACAGATTGTAATTTTGTTTATGCATTGGCTAATATAATATTTATACGTGTCTAAAAGAAAGTAATTTCAGATTATTGAAGAGTGTACAAGAAGATCAAGATATTGAAACTATAATTAATTTTTCTGGATTAGATACTGGCATTTGATACTGAAGCCCTTAAAAATTTGTTTCAAGCATAAGAGAGTAATCACGCACCCGTCATTGAGCACAAAATTCAGCCAGTTGCATCCACTCCCATCTTATCTTATCTCCTTAGTGTTTCAAGAGGTTTCACCACCAACATTCTGTACATATTTCTTGTGTCCCCCATCGGAGCCCGAGGAAACGTACTCTAATATGTAAAAGTAAATTGTAATGACTTAGTTTTATGCGCTTTAATGTTTTTGGTAGGAGACGGGGAGACAGGATCACTGTAACTGTTAAGAAAACTTATAGTTTAATAGACGAAGTTTTGTGATCACTGTAAATTATTACGTTCAATTTATTCTTTCAGGCCATAAGCTCATACATGAACCACGATGAACTGTTATATTCAGAATGAAATCAATTAATATATATCAAAACTGAAGCTTGTCTGTTCCATGTATAAAAAATTCTTGCCTTTTGTTCAGAACTGTTCTTTCTCCCTGAGACGATGAAACGAACAAACCCACACACAAACAAACACAAACTTGAATTTTTTGATTACGAATGCCCTGCGCAGGGACTGTACTGTTACTGAGAGCCATTTGTTGGCATGCGTATAAATCCCATTGCTCTGTCTCAGCCCGAAATTTCAATAATTCAATACTTTCATCGTGTTTTATTTATTTTATTTGGACTGTCAGTGGCTGGATTTTTATTCCTTGTCTCTGCTGTTCACCGCCTTCGCCGTTCTGTGCGAGTACAGTCACTACAAGACAAATGACGACTTCATAAAACAAGTATGAACATTGTGACATGTCAGTCTGTGATGTTAAATATAACATTATTTCTCAAATCAATAAAATCGATGTGAATTGGATTTGCGTCGCTAACCTTAGGTGCACGGAAATTTTAAATAGCGGTCAGTCTGTATATAAATTATATATCTTATAGATATTTATTTATAGTATAACAAACGACTTTTTTCAGTAACTCAGAGTATGTAGCGTCAAATGAGAGGGTGACAGTGGGTAATGAATTAGAAAGGATGCGGAAAGATGCGGTCGTGACCTGATTTAAGGTACTATTACGGTATTTGCCTGAAGTCACTGAGTAAAACCACGAAGGCGCGCCACCCGTCAGGATGACCGGTTTCCGGGCCGCGATTTGAAGCCGGGACCTCCCGAATGCGAAGCGGGAATGATAACCACTCTACAACGACGTTCGGTTATGAATAGTTATTATATGAAATTGCAATGTATCGACTGTTGTGTTATTTAGCGATATTTTATCGACTCCATAAGGAAAAGACCCAGAGCGTCGAAGGATCGTCTGAGTAGATTATGTAAGGATGTGGTCGTGGCCTATTTAAAGGCTTTAAAAGCTTTATGTAGCATCAGGTAGACAGTGGAAGGACGATTATAACTTAATAACTGGGAAAGACTTCGAAGGAAGTGGTCATAGCCAATTTTTTGATTCTGCTCTAGTGCTTTGTTGGAGTGAACGAAGAAAATAAAGAAGGAATTCCACTGAGATTTGGCTAACACTTACAAGGCGAAATAATATTATTTTTCGAGCAGCCAGCCGTGTCGATATTGTGTCAGATTTCAACGTTTCTACGAATACGTGTGTCTCTCCATCTTCAAGGTAAGTTTCAAAAATTACTAAAGTCGCTGATATTTTTTTATAAATCAGCTGGCTGATTATAGAGTGTGTCATTAGGTACTCAGATTTAAAAGAAATGCATGGCTGCACATAATGAAGTTGTTCAATGATATGGATATATTACGGACCATCGTGTCGAAGTGTGTAGATTTGCATTTGGCGTGTTTAATGGGACACGCTACTAACCATTACTCATGTAGCAGGCGGTCAAAAGAAAGCAAGAATGGAGAAGAGAAAGTAATAAATTATGGGTCTAAGATATTAGGGAAAGTAAAAGCAGATCAACAATGAGTGCACATATTACAGATTTCTGTGGACAGAAGAAGAAAAAGTAGGCATAATTGTTTCTCACTTTAATCAAATGTTTTATTCAATTGGTTTTCTATGCGTGAAGTTTTCCTTATTGTTTAAAATTTCGTATGGTAAGCTGTTTAACGTTTAATATAAGACGTTTCAGTGGAACATGAATTGCTCTTACAATTTCTACACATGTTTTGCCACCGGATAAATTAACTAGTTAAATGATTTTGTAGCTGCACTGTCTTGCCAACAATTGGAAGGTCACGTGATTCATCTGTGCAGCTGCTGTTCTGACTTGTTTCTCGTAACTGTACAGATAAGGCGTAAAATAAATTGCATTTTTAAGTCCAGTGTTTTTAGTTAAAAGGTAAATAATCTGATATGCAGGTCTGAGTCGCAGAGGTACGAGAATGGTGGTCAATGGATTTTGGAGGTTTGTGACTGGATTTTCGTTTCGTGACATTTACATTACGACGTGTGTACGCTATATAGGCTTTGTCTTTATATAAAGCAAACAAGCATCGCTTAGACCAATGGCCTGGAGCAGTCAGTGTTACTAAGTTATGATGCAGGAAGACGATGGAAAATCTGTTGCGTTGCATTTTGTAGGAATTTTTCCTTTGTCCTTTTTCTTTTGTAAGTATTATATAAATTTTTGATGGTTGCTTAGGTGCTGTTGTTGGCTGACCTGACCTGACGCCATGTGAACTCGTGTGTACTTACCAACGTTTTGGAGTAACTTTACTTGCAGTTTCATCTTTGAATTTCAAATGCCAATACTACGCGGAATTTAATTTCAAACCCGCCATTAGTTCAGTTAAAAAAGAAAGGCTCATTTCTTCCATTGGCTGTGTTAATCACCGACGTTCTATGTAAAAAAGTATCCTTAGGCAAAAATACCATCTAGGATTTTCTGTAGGTAGGTTAACGAATGTAGCAGTTGGTAGCAGCGCCAGTCATCCGGGTGGCAATATGGCTGACGGTGTTTGCGTGTAGTATGAAGTGCTTTCAAGAACATGTGATTCTGAAGTAAGGTAAGATGTATTTTGACGCATGTTTGTGTTATTTTTTGTCATTTATAGGTCGTGATGCTTTGCATGGAAAATGTTTAATGTGTAAATCTATTACAACGATTCGACACTACGATTTGTAGAGTGTATTATAATTTGCCGCCACTAGTAAGGAAAGTTTCGTGTAGATGGCAGCAGATCTTTGAGAACAGAAGACGTGCGTTTTGATGCCATTAGTTTGCCGAACAGACAGGCCAACAGTACGCGGGCACTCAGTTAGTATATGAAATTCAAGATACAACCCAGCTTCGGCCAACAGACTACCCGATTTCTCTCCTGTGGACAGAGGGAGAATATAGAATCCGAAAACTGGGAAAGTATCAGGAGTCTTGACGAGGTCTCATTTCGAAAATAATCTAGTTGAAAAATTTGAAATTATTACTGCAACTAATATGCAGATGACTGTCTAGTGGGTTGCTGCCCTGTATAGTCTGGTAGAAGTTTACCGACTTTTCAGAAATTCTTGCTGATGTTGGAGGCAATATGCAACTCTGAATCGTCGGTAAACATGTATCAGACTGTACGGCGTAACAACTCGGAAGGCAGTAATTTTCAACTAGACTTAACATAAGTAAAAAGTACTGAGAACAAGAAACTTAACTGAAGTTTACCATTGAGCAAGTAAATGCTTTAATTCCAGGTTTAGGTAACACCCTTGCCTTACACACACGTGAACACTGAATATTAGTTTTAATTGCTTGCATTTTTAATCACAACTAAGCTGTTAATCAGAAGAATATAATTAAATGTAAGTATTCTTCGACCACTGCTTAGTACAAGTTCAGTACTTTAGCTTAGAGGCATATTTGAAAACTAAATTCACGCTTTTACCCAACTTTATTGGAGGGAGAAAAATATTTCCAATCGAGACGATATGCAAGGAAAATGTTAATTTTCGAATACGACATGGGCTTGTGATGTTTCAGCATCCGTCTGCCAAGCAATAAATCCTGAATGAACATTTCCACCTAACTTTATTTAACCAAACTGACCTGACCTAACTTCACGTGGCACAGTCCTTTAGAATCTGACAGTCCATGAGATAGTGAGGAAATTCCCCGCTTTTATAAAACCCCAAGACTCTTAACAATGTTCACAACAGCTTGCTAGCAGTGTAATTCGTGAGCCAGATGAATCCAGTCGACAATGCTACCGAGACACTTTTCGATATGGTCCTCCAATACACACCTCTGTCTTTCAGGCTTCCAGACAACAATTTTGTAATATTTTCTCATCTCGTCATGCGTTCTGCAGCCCTGCCCTTCTTTTATTTGAGGACTAACTAACTAGATGGCTTGCCAAACCTGAAGTTTCATCACCGAATTAACCAAAGCCCTCCACCGGACCCTGTCCTGGGCCAACAAAATCCAGTCTCCTTCAACTCCTATCTCCCATAGATCCCGCCTCAGTTTATCCTCCCATCTACGTCTAGGTCTCTCCAGAGGTCTCTTCTCCTCAGGCTTCCCAAATAGTGGACCCAACCAACCAGATGGCTTACGGAACCCGAAGGTTCATCACCGAATTAACCAAAGCCCTGTCCTGGGCCAACAAAATCCAGTCTCCTTCAACTCCTATCTCCCATAGATCCCGCCTGAGATTATC